ATAGAAACATTGATGAGAAAACATTGACTAGTCGCCTCCTGCATGCCCCTCACTGGGAATCAAGCCCACAACCTGGGCATGTGCCCTGACCAGAAATCGAACCGGGGACCTCTTAGTGCATGGGTCGACACTCAACCACTGAGCCACACCAACCGGGTGGCATTTGTATTTTTAACAGATGAGTAAGAATTAACTAGTTTACCAGCTATAAAGAACTAAGCATGACCATCATCAATATGCCTTCAAACTGCAGAAGTGGTTTCTTATCTTCCCATGTGGGCAGAGGTATGCTGGATGTTCTGGGGGACAGAAGGCCTGCCCTAGGGCTTTCCCCAGGAGTAGAAGGCTGGTTGTCTCTTGGACCTCTTTTACAATTTTGAGATGGTTTCTGTTGGGCTACCATATCTAGTTTATTCTTGTATGAGTCTCACACTATCTGGTATACTAACCTCTACATGCAGACCTAGTAATCCCATTTTGGATATTTTATCTCATTCTGGATATGTTAAGAAAACTTTCTGTAGAAAAAAAGGTGAGAGTGCTTAAAAAGATAAAAGTATTCAATGGCATTATTATCACAACAGTAAGGGACTGTAGCACCATGGAAAATATGAAAGTTCCTTTTTATGTGTAATAGATTTTATCTACAGCTCTGGCCAGTGTGGCTTAGGAGTTAGAGCATTGGACCACGGATCAAAGTGTCATGGGTTCAATTCCGGTCAAGGCCACGTACCTGGTTCCAGGTTCAATCCCTGGCCCCAGTTAGGGAGCGTGTGGAACCAATCAATGTGTCTCTCCCACACCTGTCTTCCTCTCTCTTTCTCCCCTTCTCTCCCTCCCTTCCACTCTCTCTAAAAATCAATGGAAAAAATATCCTCAGGTAAGGATTAGCCAAAAAAAGAAAAAAAGATTTTATCTAGAGAATGGGTTGATGTACATAATGATACATTCAGGTATGAAGGTTGTGAGTTTAGGGATTTAATTTATTGAGTCAAGAAAAACATTTCAAGGCCCTTCATTCTGTGGCTGCTTGGTCTCTGACCTATCACCATATCCCTTCCAAAAGACATTGCATTATATACAGCTCCTTGAACCCAACTTGGCCCTAGAGACATCAGTTGGTGGTTAACAGCATGACTTTTTTTTTTTTTTTTCTTTTATCCTCACCCGAGGACATTTTTCCATTTTTTGTTCAGATAGAGTGGGAGGGAGAGAGAGAAACATCGATGTGAAAGGGACACATTGAGTGGCTGCCTCCTGCACAACCAACCAGGGCCGGGGACAAACCGCAGCCGAGGTACACGCCCTTAGCGGAAACCGAACCCGGGTCTCTCTTGACCACATGCCAACGCTCTAACTGCTGAACCAAACCGGCCAGGGCAACATGCCTTTGCAGCCAGTCCTGAGACAGAAGCCTGAATCCACCATGGGCATTACTACTTGGGGTGAGTTACCTTACCTTTCTGGGTCCCAACCCCCATTATAAAACAAGGATATAATACATGAATCAGGTTTATTTAATGAAAGAAACAGAAATCTGACAGATTAGCTTACTCAAAAATGGCATCACTGGACTGATGGTGGGGAACCCACTGAATCCCAGAAAGGGTTTCAGAAATTGAGCCAGGTCCAAGGACCTCAGGAATTAGAATGAGAACATCATCGTGTCAGTGGCACCATCTTCTACAAGAGATCTCCCCTCTCTGGTAAGGAACTGGGCTCCAGGTAGCTGTAGGCCTTCACCTTTCTGATCTAGCAACCCAAAATTAAAGTTTCCCTATTAACTTAATTTTGAAAAAACCCTGGCAAAGGACTCTAATATTGGCCCAACTAGGTCACATGCTTCCCCCTAAAACTATCATTGAGCCCCAGGGACATCCTGATGTATATTTCTGTGGTCAGTACAGCAGGGATGGTTATACAAAAAGGGAGGAAAAAGTTGGGCAGACAGACAAACGTTATCACAAGATCTAGAATGGGGAGTTGTAAGAATTAACTGAAATGATGGCTATAAGATACTCAGTACAATGACTTTAAAGTAGTAAGCATTCAATAAGTGGTAGCTGTTATGAACTCACCTGGCTGTGATGAGTTTTTTTTTTTTTTACACTTTCATTCTTTATTCAGATAGAGCAGGAGGGAGAGAGAGAGAGAGAGAAACATCGATGTGAAAGGGACACATCGAGTGGCTGCCACCCGCACGACCAACCAGGGCCGGGGACAAACTGCAACCGAGGTACATGCCCTTAGCGGGAACCGAACCCGGGTCTCTCCGGACCGCAGGCCGACGCTCTAACCGCTGAGCCAAACCGGCCAGGGCTGTGATGAGTTTTGCAGTTAATTCCTCCTCCTTGACATGCCACTCTTTAATCTAAGCCAAATTCTGAAAATTGAAATAGACAAACTGACTCCCATTCAACTAAAGAGGCTATTTATTGAAATAATACGATGTTACAAGGATGCATTTCATGTGGCCTAGAAAGCTAAGTGTTCATAAGTGCATGGTGGATGGATGCTGGGACTCCAGAATCCTCTGCTCAATAGCCACACATATATCCTGGGCTCCCTCCCTGTCAATAAAGATGTGCTGAGATTCAGAGATTGGTTGGATTTAGGCCAGGCTCCACACACAAACCAGCGGTCTCCTAGAACTAAGTCTTTATAAACTTCCGTAACAGTAGGGTAGCACTCAACTGGTTACAATTCATGCCCTTCTTACAAATAGTCCACTATGCGGACCCCAAATCAATCAGCAGCAAAATGAGTTCCTGATAGGCATCTTGGCCAATCAATCAATAGGGGAAAGTTTGAGTATAACTACCCAAACTATGTACCAGACAACACAAGCATGGCTTTGGCATTGTGTGTGCACTAAGCATGAAAAATCATAAACAAGACATTTTAAATGGTTAATGTCCTGGAAGGGCAGATCTGCTAGGGAGTATCCCATCTTGCTTCACATGAGATAGACATTGGGCTAGACAGCCCATATTTCACCCCCCAGGCAGTTTCCTGTGAAGAATTATGAAGAATGTTTGGGAGCTGCCTCATGTTGTACAGGATGAAACAAGGATGATATATCCTCTGCTACCTGGCATGCAAGAAAGCCAGTAGGAAAGGTTCACCACCAACACCACTCAAAGCACTCCTCCCAATGATTCATCAAGATCGGAAAATTTGCTGATAGAGGGGAGATGCTCTTGTATGAATAGGGTTAATGTCCACAGTTGCTTTCAAATTTATCTGCATTATTAATGCCAATGAACCAACAAAGTTTCTTTTTTTTTTTTTTAATCCTCACCCGAGGACATTTTTTTGCACAGATAGAGTGGGAGGGAGGGAGAGAGAGAAACATCGACGTGAAAGGGACACATCGAGTGGCTGCCACCCGCATGACCAACCAGGGCCGGGGACAAACTGCAACCGAGGTACATGCCCTTAGGGGGAACCGAACCCGGGTCTCTCCGGACCGCAGGCCGATGCTCTAACCACTGAGCCAAACCGGCCAGGGCCCAACAAAGGTTCTTGAAATCCCTTTAGGAGTCTATGAAGTTACATTAGGAGACATGAAGGATTTGAGTGGGCTACTGAAGCTTAGCTCTCAGGCTTTACTGCTGGAAAATCACTACAGAACTTAAAAAGTTAATTTTCAATGTGAAGTATTTCCCTGGCACATATGCTAATTTAAAGACAAATGTTATGGCAAGAGGTAACTGGATTTATACTTCTCTACAGTAAAATTAATCTGGGGAAAAGTCCTTGTCCTAGTTTTGTGTTGTTTCCCCACTGACCCAATATAGGAAGCTTGGGGCAGTGCAAAGAGGAGGACTTAATAGTTATACAATACTGACATGTTAGCTGAAAGTATAATTATGATACTTGGAAAATGGAAAAAAGCTCACCAGTAGTTCAACCATTTAGTTTCTGTTAACATTTTGGTTTGTAAGCTTCCAAGTTGCTTCAAATAAGTTTGTGACAAATTTGAATGTCTTGCTGCCTTGTATGCTTTTATGAATTCCCAGTGTATCCAACTCATTAGTGCTCATTAAATTTTTTGCACCTGATTTAAAATTTAAAAGCCCTCTGAATTCCAAAATACCTTTTCAGTGGCAAGACCTTGGGGCCAAAGATCCAGACCAGCATCCTCCACCCAGTTTTGCCATTATAAGCTGTGTCACACTGTGCAAACCACTTCGTCTTTGGTTTTCAGTTTATTCATCTGTACAATGAAGTGGTTGGACCAGTTGATTTAATTCTTTGTATAGTGCATTTCTGGAGGTGGAATTGGTTTCCACGGTGAATTCAATGTAAGAATTGCAACTGCATGCAGTTGTCAAGCAATTTAAAAAATGAGTTTTGGTCATTACTACAGGAATTTTATCTTCTAAAAAGGCTGTAAACAGTAACAGTTACAAGTCAAACTGTTGAAAGTTGGTAATCTGCATATATATTAAAAAGCTTAATAATGTCCAATATATAGGCATATCATTCCAATAGTTTATATATTTTTGTTTGTAGTTGTTTTTATAAAAAATTGTAACCAGATCCAAGAATGTGGCTTTTATTTATTGAAAAAAAAGTTGTCTATTAGCAGAGTTTTCTCTGTATACAACATACAAATACATACAATTCATTACATTCTCAAGCTTTCTCTTCAGTAAGAATCCTTTGATACAGAGCAAGAATAATATTTTAGCTAAAGTTTTCTGCATATTCTTTAATTCCAGGGTTCCTAGAGTTTATTTTGCATATCAATTCTCTGGTGTTTAGTCAGAGCTGAGCTCCAACTGAAGTTTTTCCCCATATTCCTTACAAGCATATGGTTTTTCTCCAGTATGAATTCTCTGATGATCATGCAGATTAGTTTTTTTTTTTTGGAAGGCTCGCCCATATTCATTACATTGATAGGGTTTCTCTCCAGGATGAGAAATAGGTTGTTGACTGGAGGTCTGCTCACAATCATAGGGATTCTCTGCAATGTGGATCCTCGGATGGTCAGAAAAGTCTGTAAAGTGACTGAAGTCTTCCCCACAGTCACTACAATGATAGGGTTTCACTTCAGTCAGAGTGCTTTCATCTTGAGTAACAGATGAGCTGTGCTTGAAATCTATGCTGTAGTTATTGCTTTGGTAAGGTTTCCCTCTTATGAATCCTCATATGTTTATAAAAGGATGAGCTCTGACCAAAAGCCCTCCCACATATGCTACATTCAAAAGGTTTTTCTCCAGTATGAGTTCGCTCATGCTGGACAAGGGAAGAACATCGACTAAAGGCTTTCCCACATTCCTTACATTGAAAGGGTTTCTCTCCACTATGTGTGACCTCATGCTGAATGAGGGATGAACTCTGACTGAATGCTTTCCCACAGTCAATACATTCATAGGGTTTCTCTCCAGTGTGGGTTCTCTCATGCTGAGTAAGTGTTGAGCGTCGACTGAAGGCTTCTCCACATTCATTGCATTCATAGGGTTTTTCTCCAGTATGAATTCTGTGATGCTCTATGAAACTTGTACTCCTTTTGAAAGCTTTTCCACATACATTACATTGATAGGGTTTCTCTCCAGGATGAGAAATAGGTTGTTGACTGGAGGTCTGGGGACAATCATAGGGGTTCTCTCCAATATGGATCCTCTGATGGTCAGAAAAGTCTGTAAAGTGACTGAAGTCTTCCCCACAGTCACTACAATGATAGGGTTTCACTTCAGTCAGAGTGCTTTCATCTTGAGTAACAGATGAGCTGTGCTTGAAATCTATGCTGTAGTTATTGCTTTGGTAAGGTTTCCCTCTCTTATGAATCCTCATATGTTTATAAAAGGATGAGCTCTGACCAAAAGCCCTCCCACATATGCTACATTCAAAAGGTTTTTCTCCAGTATGAGTCCGCTCATGCTGGACAAGGGAAGAACATCGACTAAAGGCTTTCCCACATTCCTTACATTGAAAGGGTTTCTCTCCACTATGGGTGACCTCATGTTGAGTGAGGGATGTGCCATGCCTAAAAGACCTTCCACATAAGTTACACCGATAGGGTTTCTCTCCAGTGTGAATTCTCTGGTGTTGAACAAGAGAGGAGCTGCGCTGGAAGGCTTTCCCACAGAGATTACACTGATAGGGTTTCTCTCCAGTATGCGCATTCTCATGCTGACCAAGGGATGAGCTATGCCTGAAGGCCTTCCCACACATGTTACATTCAAAGGGTTTCTCCCCTGTGTTAATCCTCTGATGCTCAGTATGCTGTGTCTTCCAGAGGAAGGTTTTACCATAGTCAGTACATTCATGGTGTTTCTTTGCAGCATAAAGTCCCTGATCTGTACCATTGGGAAAAGCTCCCTCTCCTTTATGAGTTTTCTCATGTTTAGTAAGTGATGATCTATGAATAAAAGCTTTTCTACATTTACTACATTTATAAGGTTTCTTTTTTGCAAGGATATTATTCTGATTGAGTGAGTCTGAATTACATCCTAAATTGATTCCAAGTGTATCACATTCACTAGACCTTGAAGGAATGTTCAATTGTGTAACCAGGTCTGTATTCAACCTAGAGTTTTCACCAAATTTATTATGCTCAAAAGTTTCCTCTGGTGTGATTATTTTCTTCTGGGTGGATAGATCTGGCCCCAGATACCTCTTCCAGTTTTCCTGGTGCCTCTCCAACTGATTGCTCACATCCCAAGCATCTTCTAATGTGGCATGTGAGAGATCATCTGTGTGAAGGGATACTTCAAATATGTTCTGCAGCAGATTTGATGATTTAGGTTCAGGCCTGGTCTTCCAGTCTGAAAGAAATCCCAAGTGCAAAAGTCCCTGTTCCCTCCTGTTGAAACAAACTGCTACAGTAGGAATGAGGAAATGAAAGAGATTCAAATTATACGTGACCCTGTTTTGAAATTAGCCCTGTAGCTTGGGGGAGAATACCTAAAATGGAGGAAAGGAAGAGTGAAGAGATGTGATAGTGCAGACTGTAGATCCAGAATGAATGATAAGTCTAGAACTAGGAAGCCCATCTAGGAGAGCTTGTTAGGGAGTAAGGAAATAAGTGATTAAGAGAGTGTTAGGCATAGATACAAAAGCAACAGGATCATAGTCTGTCTTACAGGATCCTATCTGCTCTCCATGACTCCTGACCATTTTACAAACCACCAAAGAATCTATCTTCTTAATTCATCTATTTTATAATTTCTTTAAAGTCACCTCTGAGGCTCCAGATATTCAAACCCTGCAGAGAAAAATCTGCAGCCAGTGATCTAACAGAAATGATTCTTTGATATATTTGGAGATCAAGAACTAGATGTTATAAGCTGAGAAAAATATTTCAGGAGAAAAATCATCCTTGCCCTTTACAACTTTGGATGTGGTTTTAGTCTATTTGACTTCTGGTTCTACACTAGTCACTAACCAAAAAGGACTTACTTTACTCTGCCTAATAAATTGATCTCTAAAAACCATTAAGAAAGATTGAGCTCTAAGTTAATAATATGCACATGAAAAAAATGTAGGAATGAAATATACTCATCTGCACTTGGAAATGTGTCAAAAAGATAAACTGATAGACAAATAGATGAAAAGGTATGGGATAAAGCAAATATAATAAAATGTTAACTACAGAATTTTGGTGGTAGGTATGTGGTGTTCACTGTATAGTTTTTCAACTTCTCATACATTTAAACATTTTCATAATAAAATGTTAGGAGGGAATAACACAGTAACTAAGAGGCCCGAAACTCCAAAATTCCTTACCCTGTAACAAGACTCAATTCTCAATTCCTGAGGACAGGGAATGCTTTGCATTTCTTTTAGAATACGTCTCATTGGGATATTCAAGAAATGTTTGTTGAAATGAATAATAACATTATTTCCCAAGCTAGGTTCCATTAACAGTCAATCAAATAATTTCTAACTGCCTTTTACATGCTTTGCACCACAGACAGAATGTATAGAAATAAAATACTCTAGGAGCTTGAAATCTGAGAACATAAATGGGACTCAATCTTTTGACAACTAAGCCCTGCCCAGTTTTGCTCCATGGTTAGAGCATCGGCCCACGGACCAATGAGTCGTGGGTTAGGTTCTCGTCAAGGGTATGTAACTTGGTTGCCATTTGTCCCTGGTCCTGGTCACGTGGCAGGCAACCAGTCGATGTGTCCCACTCATAATCAGTTTCTCTCTCTCTATCTCCCTTCCTCCCACTCTATAAAAATAAATAGAAAAAAATATCCTCAGGTGAGGATTTGAAAATAAAAATTATCAGATGGTTTATTATTAAATCTGAATTTGTGTGGTAGAGATGATATAAATGGTATTTGTGATCAGGGAAAGAAGTAAATATATTAGTACATATTAGGTTTCATGAATTAGACCTTGAACTTAAAGTAGATGGCTTTGGATGGGCAGAAAGCAGTATCTAACGAGGAAAAGTATATGCTGCTTACAAAGATCATTAAAAAGAAGTTCAACCTAAATAAAGGTTGTTTTAACAGGAATGGAAAGATAATCGTCGAAAGTATGGTGCAGACATTTAAATCAAGGGAGTTTGTTTCCTATAATGAGGTACAGGGAGTAAAAGAAAGGTTTTTTCAGAGGGGGGTGGTTTAATATAATAAGGTCCATCGAGTGATGAATAGATAAACAAAATGTGGTCAATACGTACAATGGAATAAATACAAAGGAATGAATACCAATAAATGAAGTAATACATGCTACAACATGAACCCTGAAAACATTATGCTAAGTGAAAGAAGCCACTCACAAAGAGTTACATATTATATGATTCCATGTATAGAAAATACCCATAGAGAGAAAAAGTAGACTAATGGTTGCCAGGAGCTGGAGGGGGGTGGGGGGAGATGAGAAATAGAAAGTGACTGCTAATGGGTCTAGTGTTTCTTTGTGGGGTGTTGAATATGTTTTGTAAGTAGATAGTGGTGATGGCTGTACAACTCTGTATATATCCAAAAATGACTGAATTGTACACTTTAAAAGAGTGAATTTTATGTTTTGTGAATTATATCTCAATAAAGTTATGATTTTTAAAAATCCAATATGGGTCATAAAAATAATAGAGGAAGCAATTTTAACTGGGAATTATAGTAATCTAAGCCTGGGGCTTGGTTTAAAATGTCACCAAGTGGAAGTTAAAGGCAGGAAAATCTAAGATACTTCTCAAATCAGAAAAATAACCTGGGTTGAAAGTAAAAGACTAAACTGACTATGCTGCCTGGTCTGAGAGATTAGAAATCGTAATAGGTTTCTAATAGGCAAGGAGTGATAGGCAAGGTAGAAAAATGTGCTGGCTAGGGATGAAAATGATTAATTTAGATTTCTATATCTTTTTTTTTTTAATCCTCACCCAAGGATATTTTTGTATTTATCTTCAGATAGAGTGAAAAGAGAAACATCGATGTAAGAAAGACACATCGACTGGCTGCCTCCTGCAGGACCCGGGCCAGGGCTGGGGATGAACTGCAACCAAGGTACGTGCCCTTGACAGGAATCGAACTCACAACTCATTGGTCTGTAGGCTGACGCTCCAACCGCTGAGCCAAACTGACCAGGACTAGATTTTTATATCTTTAATAAGAACTGAGTGGGACTTCCCAGTAGAGGTGTCTTGTGAAAAGGAATAAGTGACCAGGATACAAGTAAGAATGATTTCTGAGTCTATAGCATAAATAAAGAGCTGCAACTACCAGAAGGAAGGTACCCTTTTAGTAATAGAGAAAGAAGGGGGAGGAGGCAAGAGGGCAGACCCCTTAAGGCAGATTTGTTTAAGAAGAAAAGCCAAAGACCTAAAGCCAAGAAACACTTAATAAGTTGAGAGATCAGGAGAGGATGATACTCCAGGAACTGCAGAGGGAGGCAATGAATCAAATCAGCATGAACACAGAATGGATGGCAGACCATTTTGCTCCCGTGACAGGTGTGTTCAGCGAAAGAAGTCTGAACACAAGTTATGAAGGGAGGAAGAATCAAGGCTGTGGCTATTTCCTACAAGTCTTGGGCAGCCAATAGTGAAAGCAGTAAGACACAATGAGAAGGAGACATGAAAGTTCAATTATGCCTGAATGAGTAAGAAAAGGGATCTCTACATAATGATGGGAGACTGAGGACACCAGAGGAGAAAACAATTCAGCAAGTAGGGTTATAGGATACGGAAAGATGGTATACTGAGTATATAACAAAGTGGTATCTTTTCCTCTAAAACCTACCAGCAGCAGGAGCACCCTACTGGAGAAGGAAGATATATAGAGGTGTCATCCAGGAGATGAATCAGCCTCCTCAGCCTGTCTATGAGCTCCCAGGACAGCAATCTGAAAGTGCTTCCTCTTCTTTCAGCTATGCCATTGTCTGCACTGACTCCTACATGCTTGATCTTCACTCATTTACCTGGACAGAAAGATCTTTGGATTTCTCCCTCTGATAGCCACAGCTCTTCTCCTTGCTCCAATTTGAAGATCACCTCTGGTTTGGAAACTTGATATCCTGCTCATGGATAAAAACACAAGATTTGTTTGTTTTGTGCAAGTGGACAAAGAACCCTCCTACAAGTCAGTACTAGTCCTTGATCCTCAGGAACTCTGAAGGAAAAGAAAAGGTGCAACTTGAGGAGTCATGCAATCAAACAGCCTACTTCCAGTTCTGCAAAAGAAAGACCTTTGATCTAAAGAGCAAGCTCAGAAACCCATAGGCTGGGTCTCAAAAAGATGAACAAGTTCTGACCCTGCACACCCACACCCTGCTCACAGTCACCTAAGCTACAGTCACAGAGTCCCACAACCTTAGCAACTGAGAAAGGAAAGTCCCACCAATGGGCAAGATATTGAGATGTGGTCCTTACCAAGAGAAACCAGGTTGCTGTAGTTCTCCAGCATCACATCCCTGTACAAACGCCTCTGAGCAGGGGCCACGTGGTGCCATTCTTCCTGGGTGAAGTCCACAGCCACATCCTTGAATGTTACTGATTCCTGTAGGATCACATTCCTGCTCAAGTAGGATCAACCCCACAAACATTCCCATGGCAACATACTGTAGGGTTTATTAGAAACAATGATCACACATTTAATGTCCCGAGGGGGCAATGTTGGGTTAAATATACTAGTTGTTTACATAATTATATAAAGAATCTAATATTCAGGCCACAAAGTCATGAGGAGCAATATGTGCTGCCATCCTTAGTTTTTGCCTTATTTCCCTTCAAAGCCAAGACTTTTTATATAATCACCAATTCCTCCTTGCCCATGCACTTCCTTTGTTACAAAATCCAAATGTGGTGGGAAGTAAAAAGTGGAAGCGGGAGCCTTCCTTCACCCCCATCACCAATCTTAATTTAAACCCTAGAAATAACCAGTTAACAGTTTGGTGCATACATTTAAGAGTCTACTTTCCATGTTTCTTACACACACACTGTGTCTTGTTTTGTGAAATACCATAAATATTATTCCACAACTTATTTTTACATTTAACTGTGTACCTTGGAGATCTTCCCATAGCAGTATATATAATTTCACTTGATTCTTTTGAAGTACTTCATAGCACTCCACAGTATCATAATATCCCATTACCTAAAACCAACAGCACCCATTGTACTGAGAATAAGATTCAAACTCCCCATCACTTACTGGGCTCTAGTTATGCTGACCCTGTTGATCCCCGAACACATCAAGCTTGTTCCCACTCTGAGCCTTTATGCTTGTTACTTTCTCCCTCCCAGGATCTCCACATGGTTGACAACTACTTACTATTGGTTATTTAGGTCTTATCTCCAGCATCACTTCCTCAGAAAAGCTGTCTTAGCACCTTTCTCTAATTCACTTTCTATCATATTACCATGTTTAATTTTCCCCCAACACAGTTCTCCCTCTTTATCCAAATTCCTGCCACCTGAACTCAGGAACCAAACAGATTCAGATAAAAAGGACACTTCTACTTCTAACCATTATCTGAGATTGCTTACTTGTTAGCTTGTCTGTCTCCCCCACTGTGAGCTTCATGAGAACTTCATCTGTCTTCACAACAGTAATATACCTAGAATGATACCTATACTGAGAATGAATGAATGGACAGGTCCTGTTAACAGACATTTGGCTTATTTCTATTTTACGATTGCAAATATTACTGCATAAATATTGTTTGTGCAATTATGTGCGATTACTCTGGGATAACTAGCTAGAACTGAAATTGCTAGGTCAAAGATCTTTTCACACTTCTTTTCCCATTCCAATCACTTTTTCCTCACCACCCTACTGAAACTAGGCAGACTGAGGTCCTCCATGCCGTTCATTCATCAGTTCTGATGCTCATGGGTTGATTTTTGGTTTGCCTTGCCAGTCCTTGTTAAGCCACGAGACACCTGTCACCACACCCTTCTTGAAATTTCTCCTTTGGTCCTGGTTACTTTCTACCTCAAGAAGGATACAATAAACTATGGTAAAGACAATTCGTACAAAAAGGCATGGAAAGCAGAGCCATGAGTTCGCTGGAGCAGTGAGGGAGGCTACTTGGAGGTGGTCTGCCTTTATCCATGCCTCTTCTCCCCATGTGCTTGGCTACAGCTGAACTGGTGGACTTCTTTCAGTTTCCTGGAAAGTATCATTCTTCCCACCCTCCCACCAGTCTTTCCCTTGATAATTCCATTTCATACTTCAGGTGTTGGTTAGCAGATTTTCACTGAAGGCTTCTGATCCCCCATTGGAGGGTCAATCCCTGTATTGTGTGCTTTAAGCCACTTGGCACAACCACAATTATTCAAATAGACCTAGTAATCTACTTAATGCTTGTTTTCCTAATTAGATGGTGAGCATTATGAGGGGAGCAACTACACATTTGTTTTTAAATTCTAAAACACTAGTATCCCACAAGTGCCTGACCCACACTACACGTTTCCTGACTGAGCTGAGCCTCAAGGAGATGGCTGAGATTTGAATTTTAGAGAATCAAGAATGGCCTCATCTGCTGAGTGAGGTGCATGACTGCATTCATACACACTGGCTTCTCTGTGGCGATGTCCTCACACGAACAGGGAAGGCTTGAAATGTGGCAGATTTTTCTGACCAGCTTCAGAGATCTGTCTGTGCCAGTTAAGATGACACTAGATATTTACTAGGTGTCTAACTTGACCACATGCACTGTGGCAAAAAAATAAAAAAGCCAATGAAAAAACACTGCAGTTCTTGAATATGTTTCAGTTTATTTTAAAATGTGTTATTAGAACATGATACGAGACAATGCAAAATAAAGTGAGATGCTATGAGTGTGCAGGGCAGAGAAGACAGGGAGAGGCACAGAGCCTTCAAGGTGGGCTATACACTGGGCCTTGAGATAAGTACTGATCACCTTCTGCTCGAACTCTTTAGTGGGGAATCTAGGAGGAGCTTCAGGCTGTGACTACACTTCCAAGTGATTCACCAAAGAAGCTTACCCCACCCTCGACCACAGCATCTTCTCAGATGACCCGTGAAGAAGATTCAGCTGGCACTCAAGCTGTCTCAGAAGTACTAGCCAAGTACATTAGTAATTTGACTCTCAACTCCAGTACCGAATTCCTTTCCCTCTACCAGAATGTTCACCTAATAGCAGGACAGAGAAAAACTTACAGGGTCTTGGACTGGAGCTGGGTCAAGGTATGATCTAAAGCAGTGGTTTTCAACCTTCCTAATGCCGCGACCCTTTAATACAGCTCCTCATGTTGTGGTGACCCCCAACCATAAAATTATTTTCATTGCTACTTCATAACTGTAATTTTGCTGCTGTTATGTCTTAGGCGACCCCTGTGAAAGGGGTCAACAGGTTGAGAACCACTGCTCTAAAGAAACAGACGTGTAGTGAGGACACTGGCAATTGCTTAGAAAGGATGCAAAAGATGTTACAGGTTATTAGATAATGCACCCTTTCTCTGCTCCAAAAAGATCCACAGGAGAGGAAACCAGAGATAGAATCAAGATTCAGAAGATTTAGATATAACTGTCATTACTACCTATATCATGTAGATCCTTCTGATAATGATTATGACATGGAATTGATTTAGCTATAAACCTTATTCTTGTACTTTTTTCTCCTTGCTAGTAATTTAAGGTCATTGTGCAGCTGCTTAGGTAAGCTACTCTGTGCTAGGATAGGCTGTATAGCAATATTTTGATAACCTATAACAAAGTTCTGTGATGTCTTTTTCTTGCATCTTTCTATTGTCTACCTAAATGCCAGTGACTTATAAGAAATCAATTTAGTTTGCATTTAAATGACTTCAATATAATGACTTTATGGCAGGGCAACAACTAGCCTCTGCTATTCTACTCTTGGTCCCAAGTCACGTCTCTAAAACACAAATTTGATCATGTTTACAAACCTTTCATTTCTTCCCACTTTTCCCTATTCCTACCACCCTTACCCTACTCCATGCCACCATCATCTACTACCTGGACCATTGCTACAACCTCCTAACTTGCCTCTCTCCTCTTCCACTCATGTCTTCCTCCCAAGTCTGTTTTCCATATGACAACTAGAGCAATCTTGTTAAAACATGCATATCAAGTCACTTCTTTGCTTTAAAGCCTCTAATAGCATCCCTATAAAAAGCCAAATCTTTACAGTGTCTACATAGGCCTTCACAATCTGGCCCCCTACTATCTCCCTGACTTCATCTTGAACCTCATCCCTGACCTACTGCTCTCTCCCCTTCCTTCACTCACCCTGCTCTCCTTACAGTTCCCAGAACTCACTACACATGCTCCTGCTTTGGAGTATTTGCTCTCACTGTTCTTTGACTTGGAAGCCTCTTCCAGCAGATATGCTTGTGGCCCCCACTCACTTCTTTCAGTTCTTTGTTCAAATTTCATCTCACCAGAGAAGCCTTCTCTGACTTCCTTACATAAAACAGTGCCCCCGACAGTGCACTGTCACTCTCTTATTTTCCTTTTTCACAGCCCTTACAACACATATTTTTATTTGTTTAGTCTGTATTCCAAAGCAGAATGTAAACTCCAGGAGAGCAGGAATGTTATCTATTTTCTTTTTATTTTATCTTTGTTATAGATGTTTCTCCTTTTCTTCCCAATTGACACCGTCTTTCCCATCCCCTGCCCCATCTCTGGCTTTGTTGTCCATGTCCATTGGTTAGGTGTACATGCATATAAGTTCTGTGGTTTATCTCTTCCCTCCCCCTACCACCCCCTCTTCTGAGAGTTGTCAGTCGTCACCCTACTTCCACATCTCTGGGTCTACCCTATTCCTCAGACTGTTATGTTCATTATATTCCACAAATAAGTGAGATCATGTGGTATTTGTCTTTTTCTGCTTGGCTTGTTTCGCTTAGGATAATACTTTCCAGGTCCCTCCATGTCGTCTCAAAGGATAAGAGATCTTTCTTTCTTACAGCTGCATAGTACTCCATTGTGTATATGTACCACAGCTTTTTTATCCATTCGTCTACTGATGGGCACTTGGGCTGTTTCCAGATCTTAGCTATCGTAAATAGTGCTGCTATGAACATGGGGGTACATATATTCTTTCTGATTGGTGCTTCAGGCTTCTTAGCGTACATTCCTGGAAGTGGGATCACTGGGTCAAATTGCAATTCAATTTAATTTTTTGAGGTAACACCATATTGTTTTCCATAGTGGCTGCACCACTCTGCATTCCCACCAGCAGTGTACTAGAGTCCCCTTTTATCTACACCCTCACCAACACTTGTTATTTGTTATCTATTTTCTTTCTTTTTTTTTTTTTTATCCTCACCCGAGGGCATTTTTTGATATTTTGTTCAGATAGAGTGGGAGGGAGAGCGAGAGAAAGATCGACGTCAAAGGGACACATCGAGTGGTTGCCACCCCCACACAACCCAACCAGGGCCAGGGACAAACTGCAACTGAGGTACATGCCTTAGCGAGAACCGAACCCAGGTCTCTAGGGACGGCAGGCTGATGCTCTAACCACTGAGCAAAACCGGACAGGGCGTTATCTATTTTCTTTA